CAAAATTTGGAAGGCCATTGAGTATACTGCATGACCCAGTGGGATCCATGAAGACGGTGAGAGGTAGAAGGATGGACGGAATCTAACGAACATCAGAGCCGACAAACTTATGTTTGACTGCGATGAGTCCAAAACAATAAGGCCAAAGCAGACTGCAGGGTGGTCCGGTTCAGTTGTGCCATCTTTAAAAGCAACCGCGACTCGGACATTAGGGTCAGTGGTTGTGTTGGCAAACAGGTTCAGCGTTTGTTAACTCCAAAGTGGCTGCCCCAGGCAGCGAATGGAACCTTAGCCTTCAGGAATAGCTACGCAGCACCGAAAACAAAGGAGTCGGCTCTTAGCTGTACTCGTCAACAGCACACATTGGGCGTTTACCCAGTTTCAGTCTTCATGTTTGAGAAAGACAAATCAGAGCCCATTGAGAGCAGAGTGAAGAAAATGGCTAAGGAATTGGCCACTGCCACCACTCCCCGAGCCTCCCGCCCCAACCCCTGTGCAGAAAATCATCCATGCGTTAGAGGAAGTGGGGAGGCTTAGCCTAAGTTCAAAGTCATGTCTTGAAGTCTTGATACTGATATGTAAGGGGCTTCTAGGGAGAGGGAGTAGTCCAAGGAGAGAGAGATTTGGAAGTCCAAAGTATTCCAAGATGATAGAACTTCCTAGAGGAACAGCAATTTCCCCATTATTGAAAGTGTTTTCCCTTAAAACCCAAACCAACCACGCTGTGGTCAAATCGATTCCAGCTCATAGCGGTCCCAAAGGACAGATTGACTTGCCCCATAGGGTTTCCAAGGCTGTACATCTTGATGGGAGCAGACTGCCACGTTTTTCTCCCCTGGCGCGGCTGGTAGATTCAAAGTGCCACCCTTTTGGTGTGCAGTCTTGCACTTAAACCACTGTGCCCCTAGTTTATGCATAAATACTTGATGGGGTTATTCGCAGCAAGACTTTTACTGGGAGGTAAAATTCCCATGGAATCCAGTTGCTCCCATCATGGACCATGAGCTTCTGGGTTTGGTACCCAAAGTCCTGAGTTCTCTTTTTCCAGGCTGTCAGCATTACTGTGTTGAGCACAGGCCCTTCTTTGAAAGGCATAGATGATGGGGATCCGGGGTCTGGCTGTGGGTGCTCATTGCCTCGTTGAGCCCATATGAGCCCCAAAGAGAAAACTCTTCACAGCTGTTGAAAATGAAATGTCACAGGTTCAAATGAAGACATGGTGGGTCTGGAGAAGGGTTCATCAAGGGCGGGAACTGATGGAGAAACACCACGGACAAGACGCCAAAGGCTACGTTTGTGTAGCCCGGCAACGCGAGTGGCTTGGAGACTGTGGTTGCGAAGAGGTGTCATGCATATAATAAGCAGGCACGATCCGTTGCCTTTATCCTCTGGTGGCAGAAGATGGTGAACCCAGCGGGACCACTGACCGCCATATGGGTAGATGTGTAAGAGTGCCTCTTAAGATTACTGCTCCCACCGCCACCGCGGCGCTCCCTGCAGGCGTAGGCTCTGGGCTCTGCGATGCCTGTAGGTACAGCCCGTGTTGCTGATGGATTGGCCCAACAGTTTTTATTGACCAGCCTTTCTGTTCATCTTCTTGATTGTCTCCTGCCCTGTTCCAAACCCAGCAGCCCTTTTGTGTCTGAAGTGAGAACCCCCCTCTCCCTAGAGGGTACTGCCCCTTGTCCTCTCCAGCCCACAACCGTAGTTATACTAATAAATAACCCCTCGGGTGTATTTAGGGTGCGGACGTTCTCGGCACTTTTCACATCCATTCTCAGGCTGGATGCTCATGGCAGCGCTGGGAAGAGCAGAGGGCATGGCTCCCTTGTTGATGCTTGGGCACAAGAACTTCCAGTCACAGTTCAAGTGCAAACGTGTGATCCTGTTTGAATACGGAGGAGGTCACATCACTGGACCAACGTCACACTGAGGACACGGCTGGTTCTGGGTCAGAACCCAGGCCTTTCTTCTGCTCCCAGGGGTGCTGCTTGGCTTCATGCGAACAGCAGCTCAGTTCTTCTCATTGCCAGACTGGGGTGTCTGATGGCGGTCCGGCGCGAGTCCATCAGACCCTCTGGGCCAGGGACTGTCATGGGTGAGTGACCAGAGGCGGCGCAGAATTAGGCTCCATGTGGCCATGGAGACATTGACGACCCCACAAGTCACCGAGGTCTGGGAGGTCCCCGGGCGGGCAGCTTTCTTCCAAATCATTGCCAAACACTTGCTTCCGTGTCCTGTGTCTGGTTAGGCCAGGACCACTGATACTCACCTGAGTCCGGGCTGCTTTGGGGTGAGCCCAGCTATGTGAGGAAGGGCTGGGAGGGGCACCAGTCCAGCCTACATGCGTCTTTCCTTTTTTCTTTTTTTTGTGTGGTTTGCAAAACCATGTACTTTTCGACAAACTGATGTGTAAGCTTGAAAATTATGGAGTTTATTAACTTCATCAAATAAAACCTAGAGCAAAGTTAATATAACACATTTAATGCTGTTAGAGAATGAATGCCCTACATGGTTATTATGCTTAATGGTAAATAGTTTATCTGGATGACTGTAATTAGTATTGCTTTAATCGAGCCAAATCCATTTTTAAGTTTCCTCTCGTGTCTTTATCAGTTCTCCAGCATTTGGGTGCTTGGGTGGCACGTCTCGTGTGTTCTGTGTGCTGTTTGCCGTGGAGCACAGGAAGATCACTTCAAAGTCCCAGAGAAGGCCATGTTTCTTTCTACCAGCTCCTTCAAACGCTTACCTATTTCTGTCCCTAAATGTGTCTTCTGTTCGATGGCACGGGGCTCTGTCTCGTATTTTCCCTCCATAGTCTTCTTTTAATCATTACAGGTGAGATCAGAAAAAAAAAAAGTAGAACATCCCCAACATGTACCAACTAGAGAGGCCCAACGTTTATCAAACAAAGACACATGTTGCACCTGCGGTGTCAGACAACCCTGTAAAGGTGGGGCCCCAGCTCAGGGCTTTGGTGGGCTGTTGCTGTTGCTGGCCGGCATCCTGCCCATTGCTACATAGTTGCCCGGCCCCAGTTCCCCTTCTTCAGAGTAGAGCCAAGAGAGAGACTCAGAGGCTGGTGTCCGAGATGGGTGTCCCCGACGAGGACCCTCACACCTGTGTCTGAGCCTGTTTATGCTTCTGTAGACCTGGAAGAATAACTCTCGCGCTGGGGCCTGACTCCTAATTTACTGCTCAGCCTGTGCACACTGTGCAGGTGTCCCCAGCAGGGGAGCAGGGGGCAGCAGAGTGCAGTGGGATGAAGCCTCAGGCAGCAGGAAGGGTCTTCAGTGGGTGCAAAGGGTCCCAAAATGGCAGGGGGCTCCCAGGAATCCAGATGCGCTTGTCCTCCATTGTTTTGCTCCAGAATCTCCCCCACGCTTCCAAGAACGGCTTCCTCAATAATTGACTTTCTTGCTCGAGGGAAGGGTCTCCCTGATCGGGCTTGCGGAAAGCGTCCTGGGGGCATAACGGATTATTCTTTGGGCTGCTAGCTGCAAGGGTGGCCATTTGAACCTACCAGCGATGAGGCTGTTTGCTGCTGTAACGATTTACAGTCCGGGAAGCCCCGGGGAGCCCTTCTACTCTGCCGTAAAGGGTGTCGACGAGTGGAAATGGACTCAGCGGCAGAGGATTTGGATTTGGGGTTGGCCTGTCATTCAAATTCAGGATGCTATTGCTGTTAGGTACCATGAAGTCCGTTCCGACTCACAGTTGCCCCGTGTGCAATAGAAGGGGCCCCTGCCTGGTGCTGCACCAGTCTCACAATGGTTACTATGTGACAGGCCATTGTTGCAGCCACTACGTCAGTTCGTCTCAAGGAAGCTCTTTCTCCTTTACCTTGACCTTCTACTTTAGGAAGCATGAGAAAGTACATGATACTTTCTGATAACGTGGCCAGAGTCCGTAATACAGGTTTAGACCGACAGGTGGCGCCAAACCGCCAAACCTTGGGGTCTGTGTGGGGGCTACAAGATCACCTTCCCACTGGCGCGCAGACTTCCCTCACCTGGAGATGACGAGAGGGTGGGAGGGCACGGGAGAGAAAGGGTCTGAACCTGCAACCGCCTGGATGTCAATGCTTCGGAAATGAGGACTTCCCCTGGCGGTTCAAAGGCGAATGTCCGATCCTTCCTGTTTGAATTTGGAGGAGGGTTGGAAGGAGGATCTATTCCTGGGAGAAAAGAGGGCAGAGAAAAGGAAGGTTGGGGGTCCCTGGGGGTGATCTACAAACTTTGCCCCCCTGGCTATTGGTGCCTGCTTAGGAACCACTGACTTCCTGTCCAGTGGGGAACCTGGAGTGGGGATAAGGACATGTCCTTATCACGTCTGTCCGGCCTTTACACTAGCCCCGCCCCTGGCAGTCCGTACCTGTGGCCCCGTGCCTGAGATTGGACGAGCGGTGGTCAGACCAGCCTGGCTCCCTTCTTTTGGGGTAGGTGGTAGTCATCCCTGCCGTGGCATCTTTGGGGAATCTGCCGAGAAACATGGGTCCTGTAGACGTTGCCCTACAGTTTCTGGGGGAGGATGGGGGGGGGAGGCTCTGGTGTTTCAGGGTTAGATAGCACTAATGGGGCATTGTCAGAGAGCGGAGCAAGAATGCACTGAGGAACAAGATACCCCCGGAGAAGCCCCCCAGATGCAGCTTTGTTCCGTCAACAAGCAGAGGGATCAGTGGGCAAGGGGTGTGGTGAGCCTCGCCAAGGCCAGGGAGCGTGGGTTGAAGGAAGAGTCCAGGAAAGCGTCACTGAGGATCCCTTGGACATGAGCACCAAGAGACACGAGTGAGTGTCTGGGTCAAGGAGGGGGCGTCCTGAGGAAGACCCAGTAGCCAACGTAGGCAGGCCTGCTGGGTCAGCTCCTCCTGAGGAACTGATTCCTGCTCCACAGTCACCCCCTGGCCCCCAGTGGGTCCTGGTCTCCAGGCTGCAGGAGTTGCCTCCCCGGGGGAGTTAAGATACACACATCTTCAAAGCCTATTTCCGCCGCCCCTGTAGGAAGATCGCTGACTATGATGAGGAAATCCAGCACCTCTACGAGGAGATGGAGCAGCAGATCAAGAGCGAGAAGGAGCACTTCCTGATGAAAGTAAGCGGCTGCCCCCTGGGCTCGGCTCTGGGCTCTCAGGGCACCCCCCCCCACCCCACCCGCGTTAGGACTGCAGCCCTCCACCCATGCCACCACCCCTCTCCTCTCCTCTGGCTGCTTTTGCAAACACCTTTGTCACCTTCCAACACAGGACACCGACTACTTCCTCTCTGACCCTCCTCCTCCTGCGAGTGTGTAAACAGCCCCAAGAGAAGGGGTCTTTCTTTGTAGCCTCCGCACCGGGCAGAGTCGCACAGTGTCCACAGAGCAGTCCCGAATGAACGGAAGAGCGAGTGAAGGAGTGGGTGAAATGCAGCAGGGTAAAGGGAGATGGGCCCAGGGAAGCTTTTCTGAGGAGCACGGGGACCCCCCCTGGGAGACAGAATGGAAGGAAAAAGCTGCCTGCATGCTTTCTCCAGGAAAGGCAGCCTCCAAGTTGGGTCTGACGCTGGCCGCCCCTCAGGCCTGTCCCACTGACTCGGCCAAGTGTACCAGCCCCTTCCACTCCCCGAGGGGCATATGCTGCCCCTCCCATCCTCTCAGATGCCAGGAAAATGGAATAGCAGAGGGCAAAAAACTCCCATCCCCCTCAAGCGCTAGACTTGCCTCGCTTGCTCCTAGTCACCTGGATCCTACCCAGTCACTCTCCAACCGTGCCCTCTGCCCGGGAGTCAGCCCACGGCTGTCAGAACCTTCTCCTTGACCTTGCTACAGCTAGGGCCTTTCTGGGAAATGTCCATAACTAAAAGCTACCAAAACCTCTCCATTACCCATTTTTGGGATAATCTAACAGCCTGCCTTTGGTCTTAAATGGCACTTCCCTCAACCCCCACCCCCTTCCCCAGCATACCTGCCTCTTAGCTGATCCTGGTCACTGCCCCAGCCCTTCCCCCTCCCTAATGCAGGTTCATTTGATCCACCCCACTGCTCCATTTATTACCACAGATGTCTGCCAGCTCCTAGGGGAGATCTGAATGCCTTTCAGAAAAACGCCAGCCATGTCCCCCAACTCCCGGAGGCTCTGCAGCATTTTCAGACCGCCTTCCTGTCTGTCTGGCCCCTGGCCTTCAGCAGAACTGAGTAAAAGGGTGGCAGACAGAACACACACAGGCCTCACTTAGAAGGCCAGACATCACTTTCTGAGACAGCGGCCCCTTTCTAGCAGCAGGGTCTTCCCTCTGGACCCCACAGATCCTGTGTGGAGGGGGCCTGAGCTGTGGGGGGAACCAGCGGTTCCAGAAGCAAGCAGTGGGCCAAGACATGGCCAGTGGAGGGGAGTGGGAAGAGGTTGGAGGGGGAGAAAAAAATGCAAGAGCAAATGAACATCCCCTAAAGTGATTCTGTGAGCCCATGG